TGATCTAAGACCTTTATAAAATCTCAGGTCATAAGTTTAGCCCCCATGTCATTACATACATTCATGTTTAAGATGACAAGTTCATTGTGGTTTTACAACTATGTTGAGGTTTTTGAAATAAGGTGTAAGTGCATTGTTGCATCCTTATGTGGGCTGAAATTGTCATGTTTGTGTCTCTCATGTACGTTTCTTTAACATTCGGGGACGAATGTTCCCAAGAGGGAGATATTGAAACGACCCCAAAAATGCCCGAAAGTGTGCTTCGGAAACACCTATAATTGTAATTTCCATATATCTCAAAATCTATGCATGATTTCGGAAATTCGACTTCATATTCTTATTCATGGGGTCAAATTGAGTGGGGGATGGGTCTAACCCGAATTTTAGAGCAACCGTATCAAAATTCGAAAATCACAAAAAATGCGATTTAGAGGGTCAACTTTAAAGGGGCATATCTCTTAGCACACAAGGAACTAGAAGAGCCACAACCTATTAAATTAAAGCTCTTTGAGTTAGTTTTCCAACACACTTGGTTTCACCTCATTCCGAGTTAGGATGAGGGAGTTATGACCATTTTCGTAAAACTTGTCTGTGCAGATTTGCAATTTCCAGTGAGCTATTTTTTTTTTTAGGCTAAGTGTTGGGGACGTTTTTTATAAAAAGGGGATATGTCTCATACTTAATCATTTTTTAACTTCAAAAACACTCTCTAAGCCCTCTCCAAAATTCCACCAAGATCCTCAACCAAATTCAAACATCTCAAGCTCTAATTCCGAATTCAAGACTCAATCTCAAGCTTCAATTCTCCATTCCAATCTTCATCAAGGATTTCCCAAAGTTGAGGTATGTGGGTTTGATTGTGGAAACCTTCCTTTCCACAAGTCCAACCATTTATCCTCTATTTCTACTTCAAGTTTATGGGTTCTTATGGTTATTTATGAACTCTTGAAGTATGAAATTACTACTACACACCCTATTATGGTCTATTTTGCATATTATCATGAAATGGAATTATTATGTGATGTTTATGATTTTCATGCTTCCACGATCAAATTATGAAGGTTGATATATATATATATATGTATGTTGTTGGTGGGCTGATTTATATGGATCTTGAAATTGGTTGGACTTAGTACTCTTGAAATACATGATTTTATTTACATGAACAGTAGCCCACCATGTGTTTGATAAAATGCCCATTTATAGAATTCTTAGGAAATGGAAGGCCTAATGTACGTCCTATGAGTCAGATTGTTATATAATTACTGAAATGATGATGAAATGGACACATGTATATGATTTTCTCTTTATAAGTGTTGTGAGTCGACCAAGCCTAGCTCGGGGGGGTTGTAGGCCCGGGTAACCGTATCGAGGGGTTGGTACCTTGGTTGCCTAGTACAGGGGGTAGTAGGCCCGTATAACCATATCGAGGGGTTTGTACCTTGGTCCCTAGCTCGGGGGGTGGTAGGCCCAGGTAACCACATTGAGGGGTTTGTACCTCTTTCGCCTCTCCAAGGGGGTGGTTGGCCTTGGAAATACTATATTGATGGTCACTCGTCACACATGTACTACGCCCCACTAAATATGATTTTTATGTAAGCATCATTATACATATCATCTCATTAATATGCTATTTATCGGGTATGATTATGCATTTTGCCTACGATGTCCATCTATTGTTGCATTGCATTGCATCTCATATACTTAGTACATTCAAACGTACTAATGCATACTCTATGCCTACATGATGTCACCATGTAGTGACCGGAGCATCGCTTGACCATCCTCATCCGCGTGGCTAATACGATTTTCTATCGAGGTTATTGGTGAGTCCTACATTCTGGGGACGTTGCTTATGATCTCTTGGTATGTATAAGACTTTTCCTTTTTAGTTATGTGTTGACTATGAGGGTGAGCCCGGTAGTTTATCTTGGCCCCCGCTAAGTAACCATGTTTAGAGTTGGTGTTAGACAAGTTGTGTATTATGCTTGAGCTTGACTCATCTATGGTATTTATGTATCATTCTCTTTTTCTCTTGCTCTCTTAGTCCCGACTTCCCCTTGATTATGCTTATCGCTTATGGTCATTTTAATTGTTTCCGCGACCAAGGATGTGTAATAATATGCTATGAGGCTTGTTTGGGGTTCCTTCGGGTTCCCCATTCGCCGGTCACGCCTAGGCCCTAGGCTTGGGTCGTGACATAAACTTAGGTCTAATATGCTTATATAGTTGCTAGGAAATGAATAGAATAATGTAGGGTCAACTTTGGTAAAGAACTAAGAACCTAAAACATTTTAACTTAAAATTATGCCCCTTGCCCACTTGAGCTCACCCTTTGGACCCTTGGGCTCGCCCTTTGCACTAGGTAACTCGCCGAATGCACCCTTGGCTCACCCAATATTCCAGTGAGCTTGGAATTTGGGCAGTCTACTAGGCGATCTAGGGAGCTAAAGGGCGATCCACCAATCTGGTTGGCGAGCTGCGACTTAGCTCGCCCTTTGCTCCAGAATCTAGGCCAAATTGGACAACCCACTAGGCGATCATAAGGCACAAGGACGACTCGCCCAACCCTTTGGGCGATCATGACGTCCCATCGCCAAAAGGCCCCTCAAAGAACAAGGTTTCTTTCACTCCTTCTTGCTAACATATGTCCTTACTTGCACCCTAGACTTCTTCCTTGTTCAATTAAGGTCTAAAACAACCTAGACATTCACTTAAGGGTACACTAACCCACACAATGAAGCTCTAGTTCATCCTACCATGTTGCGAGTCGTTACATATAGATACACGTGTATGGTGTAATTATGCTTTAACTAGTGGTACTTTAGTAACTATTTAGTATCAATCACGTAACAAGAAGACAGGGGAAGAGAGATAATTTTTTCATGAGGTATAAGTTTTTATTTTTACACCATAATATCTCCTAAGTTATGTCCTGCATAAGTTTGATTTTGAATGGCAAAAAATAATTTATTTAATTAATAAAAACGATGACTAATCCATTTAAAAAACAAACCATGCAATTAAATAATATATATTTTTTATTTATTTTAAATGGGAAATCTACACACCATTATTTAAAAGTTTTGATCATAATTTAAAAAGTTGCATAAAAACATATTTCACATAAAAAATTGAAATTCAATTTCAAGAGCGATCTGTGACGACCCATCATGTCACGCCACATAAGCATCACGTAAGTGCCACATGACACAAGATTGCCCACATGAAGTGCTTACATAGGAAGAATGCTAGTTCATAGTGGAAGGTTCACTAGATATATGGAGAATTTCCTTAGAATACCTCAAAGTTCTGTTAATTTTCATAGAAGATCCTTCAAATATTCTAGAAAGGGGACTTATTTATAAATATGTAGAAACTTGTTTAACAATAATTATTTACATATTAGCCTCAAGTAAATAATATAAATAGAGAGACATCTATTTGTAAAATTTTCCAATCAATCTTCCAAACAATAAATAAGAAAAAGGTTTACTTGAGCGAATTGTCAAATACAAAGACTAAGAACGTGACAAATCACTAAAAAAAACTTGTCTTGCTATAAGTATAAGTCAGATCACTAGTATTTAGTATATATATTTTTTGATGAGTCACCGTAAATTCTGATGGATAGTTTTGTTATCAGACTAGTTATTAGAATCTTAGTACAAAATATATTATAATTTTGGATATTTAATAATTCAGACAAATCATTATTTTTAAAAAAAAATTATGGTGTTAAAAAAAATTATAAAATGGAATATAAGATTTTCGATACTATAATTATATAATATTTATGTGGCTATAGTGACTTCTCATTACAATAAAATAATTTTCAACTTTAAAAAGGAATCATCCCTACCCTTCAGAGGGATCCAGTAATTTGGACTTAAGACTTCCATGTTAAAGGTCTCAAGTTCGAATTTTCTTATATTGGGCTTGCGAAAATAAAAAAAAATTATCTTCTGGATCGAGCTGATCACGTCAGACTTGCGTAGTAGAATCATACCTGTTACTTGTTAGAATAAAAAGTCATAGCTATTAACTAGAACTTTCCATATTCCCCACCCAAAACAAATTCATTTCTCTTCTTGTTTTTTCTCGACAAGCAAATACAAAAAGGTTCGTTTTCATTGGATTCAAAGAGACCAAATCCCCAAAACTGTCACTTGTAACATAAGAAACTGAGAATTATTCCCATTCTATTGGGTCTTTCTTTATCTAAAACATCATAATATATATGTTCGGTTCTACTTCTGCAACTTTCTAAGAAAAAAATTGCAGTATTGTCCAAGTTAGGTACTTTCCTTTCTCAGTTTGCTTGCTTTTTTTCATTCTTTAAGATAAAGTTGTGAACTTTGTTGTTTTGTGAAGGGAAAGTTCTTGGAAATTTTGATAGGAGTTGAAAAAAGGGGGAATTTTGTTGTTCTTGGAAATAAAATGTTCTGTATATATATATATTATGCTGTCTGCCTAGTCATAGATAGATGATTGAGCAATTGATATGATCTGTATTCTGTATGATGTCTTTAGCCTGTGGAATTGTTAGTGAATTTGAGTAGAATCGGAGCTAGAATTTTGAGTATATGACTTCGGAATTATAAAAAAAGGTAAATTGTTGGATTTTGAATAAATTATTTATACTCCCTCTATCTCAAATTATCTGTCGTGTTTCTCTTTTATAACATATGAAGGAAACATTGATTAGAACTGGTTTTTGACTATTTTATCCATCCTTTATTTTTAAACATTATAGAAGTTTAAGACAACTAATTATTTCCCCCATTATATTCTCAATGGTAATTATTCTTGAAAACTATAAACAACTCATTAGTCAAAATTCTACTACTCAAATGAGGTGTTTGTAGTTTTCAAGAATAATTACTATTGAGAATAAAATGGGGGAAATAATTAGTTTTTTCTTTAAACTTTTAAAATGACAAATAATCTGAGACAAATATTTTTAACAATCACTACAGATAAGTTGACAGGTAGTTTGAGACAGAGGGACTACATATTAAGTGGATTTTTGACACAAATACAAGGTCTGGGCTAAAGTTAATTGGTTATAGTACAGTTGTAGTGCTGAACCAGTAAGTAGCACTGTAACTCCGCCCCTGAATTCAAAAGTCTTCAGTATGATAAAATTTTCTAGCAGGAAGTTTTCAAATCATTATTGTTTTTCTTTTTGTGAACAAGGGAACTGCAGGAACATTGACTAACTAAACATATTCTTTGTGTGGGCAATCCAAGATGGATTTACACAAGGTGAGAAAGAATCTTTGGTGTTTTCCCAATTATCATTGGAATTTCTGATTTTGACTCCGTTATAGTTATCCGTCTTGTCTTAATTTTATTTATTCAAGTCTGTCTTCATTGTCCTTCAAGTAATTGGTTTAATATGCTTGTGAAGGTTGGGATCATGAAGTGTACTGTTTATCAACGTAATTGATTTGGTACAACACAGATTGATGAATTCTCTTTGGTTTTGGATTAGAGATTTGAAAGAAAAATTATTTTGGTTTATAAAGAGAAACATGTTGCAAGCTAAAATGATTTCAGTATTGAAGTCAGGAAACATTTTGATTGAAGTCAAGAAATATTACTGAAAGGCAGTTTGAACCGGTGAAACATACTTTCGGATCAGCCACTCATAATTGTGTCAAACTAGGCTGTCTATGTTGCACCCCTTATGTGTGGCCCTTCTGGAGCCTGCGTGAATGCAGGATGCTTCGTGAACTGGGCTGCCCTTTTTTATAGTTATTCATCTCATCTTAATTTTATTTTTACCAGTCTTTCTTAATTGGTAACATGCTTGTGAAGGTTTGCTTTTCCTTTGGGATCATGAAGCATGTACAGCACATCATCCTAATTGATATTGTATAACATGGAATTATGAATTCCCATTGTTTTCTGATTAGAGATTTGCAAAAAAAGAAGAAGCTAATTTTGTAAACAACGAGAATGTTTCATAAACTAGAATTGAATTGTTTCACTACTGAAGTCAACAACATTTGAGGCTTGTGACCAAGTATACAATTCGTACTGGTAATCTTACAAACAAAAGTTAATTCATATACTGAAGGCGAAGCATACTTTGGGATCCCTCAGGAAATCTAATTTCAGGGGGCTTCCCGTATAAATTCTAGTGATAATTTTTCACATGCTATGCCATACTCGCTGCTGAGTGCAGATGAACTCTTCACAGTAAGGCATGTCCTCGTTCGTAGTCTCATTCAACATGACCTTTCCAGCTCAGATATTCAAAGTTTGTTTAGTAACAGTCCTGGCTTTGTATAATACAGACATATCATTCTAATGTCGATGTGATATTTATTTTATTAGTCTTGCCAATTAAGCTAATATTGTCTCGGGCTGGTAATTTTCCTCTTTTTTTAATTAAACCATTTAATACTGTTTCGTGATCATCTGATTGGTAACTTGTTTTTGCAGGAAGATGATAGAGGCTCAGCAAAGCAGAAGAAGGTCAAAATTGTTTTTGTTATAGGTTGGGACGTCTGTAATTCCTTTACTTGCACTGCCTGTTGTAATTACGTCTACTGCATTTTGTATCTCTTTAGATGAAATTAAAACTGCATCTTGTGTTCCTTTTTTATCATGAAAAATGTATCTAGTTTTATCTGGTGTTTGTACATAATATCTTATTTGGTAACGGTGGAAGGTGATAAAAATTGGAAGTGACATACTTTTTCTGCGGCTTCCATGCCTTGCATATCCGACCACCAGCATAAAGGAAGGAAAAGAACAACATTTTGCTGTGTTTTTTCTTTACCTTTTTGTTCTCATAACTTCATCTAATAGGTGTTAAAATGAAAGCTGAATTTAAAAGTTGAGTGTGTGTAACTTCTGATAATATGCTTTCTGTAAACAGCATGACTTTATGATCAGTTTAGCCAATTTCCACATCCAGTTTTGTTCAAATGAAACAAGAAACATTGTTCGTTGATGGTTGTCAAATGATCTTAGTTTAGATCGTGAGGGTAGAATTGACATTCGGAAATAATGGAGGTTCACTCTAGTCACTAGTTATAGTTATATCAAAGTTAAATATAAAGCAAGTTTGTGTTATTTCAAACGTCGGGGGTAGTATACTGAACTTGAGGGCTACAGATAGCAATGTGCTATAAAAACTCATAATGAATAACAGAGGCAGGACTAGTGTGGTTTTGCATCTCAGTACTTTAGTTGTATGCGTGATCATAGACATGCTTAAGCGCGTTAAAGGTTTATTCAAGCACTTGATCAGCTATACGAGATGTCAATGATGAACAGTGGTCGACTAAGACAATGGCTTTTGACGGTGTATTGGTTGAACAAGCTAGAAACTAAGTTCTTGAAGAACTTTTTAATAGATGCAAGTCTCGTTCTAAACCTTCTTTTGAACTTGCTTCAGTGTGCTTTACGCCTTTTCATGATCAACCTTGTAAGTCGTTAATACAATGGTAGCTAATATGTACATCCCCAAGCATAAGGAGTACTTAATAAGATCACAATTCACAAGGGTCATTGTCACATAAGTGTTATGGATTCTTTTTCTTGTGGCTTATAGCATGTGATATTGCAGATCTTTTTATCTCTATTATTTTTAGAAACATAACTTCCTCCTTCCTTATTTTCATGTTGTGATGATTCATGTTACAGGTGGTCCGGGGAGTGGTAAAGGAACACAATGCAAAAGAATAGCACAACAATTTGGATACACTCATCTTAGCGTTGGCGAGATTCTACGTCAAGAAATCAGTTCTGGTTCTGAAACTGGGTAATGTTACGATATTCAATAACCGTTTTAATTCTCAATAAATCCGTAGTTGTTACCCTAGTATGTAAACTGATATGCTCCTAGAGTATATACAATGCTTTTGTTTCATCGAAGAAATTCTCTATGGTGTTACTTGGAATAAGATCATAATATCCACTTTGTAGGCTTCCAGTTCTGTTAAGTAAGAATTTTGTATGTCACAACACTGTCTTTATTTCTTTCGTTCGGTTTATTTCAGCTCTATGATTCAGAAAATTATGAAGGAGGGAAAGCTTGTTCCGTCGGATGTAACAGTGAGGCTTCTTCAACAAGCCATGCAGGGAATCAATAGTGACAAATTCCTAATCGACGGCTTCCCCCGGAATGAAGAGAATGTTAAAGCATTTGAGGATCTTGTAAGTTAGTTTATTATTCAATTGTTTCTAATGCAAGTCAGTAGCACACTGATTTTGCTTGTATAATTTGAAATAACTATCGTTTGGGATTTCTTTGTAGACAAAAATGGAGCCTGAGTTTGTCCTTTATCTAGATTGTCCACAAGACGAAATGGAGAAGCGCTTGCTATCAAGAAATGAGGTATATTTAGCCTATGTTTCTCGGGCTCTCCAAAATGCTGCCCCGCCCGTGTCGGACCCTCCAAAAATGCACGACTTTTGGAGGATCCAACATGCACCTGACAAATTTTTTGATGGGTCGAGGAACATAGTATTAAGATACATCGATTTAGCACTTATATCAAGGATTTTTTTTATACTTAATTTGGAGTAACTATGCAGGGAAGAGAGGATGATAACGTCGAGACAATAAGGAAGCGATTTAAAGTTTTTATGGAGTCAACTCTCCCTACAATTGAATACTATGAATCAAAGGGGAAAATCAGGAAGGTAAATCATAAATTTATAATCTTCTTCTATTGTTGAGTAGGGTGATGGACGTAGTATAAAATGTTTTAGATATTGAATCTGTATAAGATGGAATGATTTTAGTCAGAGGTGGGTGCAACATTGCAACACCGAGTTCATCTGAACCCAATACTTTCGACTCAATGCAGAGCATAAATTTATATGTAATTGTAAATTTGTAACACATAGTACTTGTGAACTCATAAATCCTTAAAATACAATAGTTCAATGCTAAGAATTGAACTCGTATAGTTTAAATCCTGGATACATCCACCCGTTATTTTAGTAATAACTGCTTCCTTGTGTCTGAACATATCAGGTTGATGCTGGAAAATCTGTTGATGAGGTTTTTGAATCCATCAAAGTCATTTTCTCACAAGGAAAAGATTATAACAAGGTGCCACCAAGCAGACACAAGTGCAAATGCTTGATACTTTGAATGAATGAGTGTCTTCAACACTTGATCATTTACAAATATATTTATAAATGCGCGAGATTTAACTTATAGATACAATTCGTGTGCTTGAACTTGTTGCAATAAGTCATATCCTCTTATTATTGACGGCTAAAGGCCAATAGTCGTCCTCCTGGGGATTTTATTGTGTAAAAAACTATATCGTAAATGTATATAAGTTAAACTCTGTATCAGGGGCGGAGCTATGACATGGCGAGGGTGGTCAGATGAACAACCTTCGTCGGAAAATTTTTACGGGTATATATACTAAATATCGAATTTTTTAGATATATACTAACTGTTGCACAACCTTGACACAATAAAGGTTGACAGCCCAGCGGTTAAGGTTGTGCAAAGAGGCCTCAGCGTCCCGGGTTCGAGCCCAAGCGTTGGCGTTTTCTTTAAATTTTATCATTATTCCATTTGTTCTCTTAGAAAAGGCAAAATTCAGTCTGGGTTCGATCCCAGGCTTGAACAATTCATTTATTTAATATCTGTTCCGTTTTTCTCTTAAGAAAAAGTACAAAAGTTACCTTTTATAAGTTAAGAAAAACAAAAGGAAATAAAAGGTCTATTTTTTACTTTTCTTAATTTTAAAAAAAAATAAATTCATAGTTGTCTTTTCCTTTTAGTTTTTTGACTTCTTCTTCTCCCAAAAACCCTTTACAACTTTACTCTTACCTTTCTCTCTTCTCAACTTTCATACATATTTGCAAGTTTTAAGAAATTGGAAGCTTTAATCATTGTATATTTCTTCCTCAACCGCCATTGAAGTGTGAAAAGGTATTTCTTAATTCTTTTTTTCCTTTAGTTTAGTTTTTTCTAATCATGTGTTGAAAGACTTGAATATCTTAGTTTTTATGTTAAAAGCTACTTTATTTATTTGAGTATCGATCAACTATTTGGTGTATTGTGGATGCTTTTTAATAAGTTTGGTATACTTGAACTTGACTACTATTTCAGTTTGGTGTTCAATGAGTTTGGAGAAATATTTTTTTAGAGTACCCAAAACAAGTTTGGCGCCTCAAAATCAAAATCAACTACGCCGAGATGAAAATGTCAACCAAATAGAAATATCATCTCACTCTTCCCAAAGACAAGAATTTGATGTAAATGATTTAAAGGCTGATCCGGCTGAAAGAACTCCAATTTTGAATTATCATCCAAACCTTCGTGATGAGATAAGGAGGGCATATATCATTAAAGGTCCTTGTCAACCTCAAAATCATCAGTTTCCTCAAACTAATTCTTTTGGAACACCACGTCGTTTTGTTTATACATGGTTTGATGAATATCGTGATTGGTTGGAATACAGTATTAGTGCGGATGCTGCTTATTGTTTACCTTGTTATTTGTTTCAAGGAGAAAACATTAATCAAGGTGGTGGTAATGTATTTTCGACTAAGGGATTTACAAATTGGCATAGAAAAGATAGCTTTGCTACACATATTGGTCTACCAAATAGCGTTCATAATCAATCCAAAAGAAAGTGTGAAGATCTCATGCGAGAACAACAATCCATTCAAGCCGCATTTTACAAGTTGGATGATAAAAGTAAGCATGAATATCGAATTCGGTTAAACACTTCAATCGATGTGGTAAGACTTCTCTTGGATCAAGGTTTTGCATTCCGTGGTCATGACGAGAGTGAATCGTCATTGAACAAGGGTAATTTTCTTGAAGTTCTTTCTTGGTTAGCTGCTAGATGTGATGCAATTAAACCTTTTGTGTTAGAAAAAGCTCCAAAAAATAATAAAATGACTTCTCATGACATCCAAAAAGATATTGTGACTGCGTGTAAGATTGAAACAGTTAAGGCAATAATAGAGGATATAAATAGTGACTACTTTGCTTTATTGGTTGATGAATCTAGAGATGTGTCACGCAAAGAGCAAATGGCTATTTGTCTTAGATATGTTGACAAAATGGGGTTTGTGATGGAGGCATTTATTGGACTTGTTCACATTAAAGATACTAGTGCTTTATCTCTAAAGAAAGCAATTGTAGATGTACTTGCTCACCATTCTTTGACTTTATCTAATGTACGTGGGCAATGTTACGATGGGGCAAGTAATATGCAAGGTGAGCTAGGTGGTCTTAAAACGTTGATTAGACAAGAAAGTAGATCGGCTCATTCTGTTCATTGTTTTGCTCATCAACTTCAATTGACTCTTGTTGCGGTTTCTAAAAAGTGTGTTCAAGTAGGTGAACTTGTATTATTAATTTCAAATATTTTGAATGTGTTGGGAGCTTCTTTTAAACGCGTGGATAATTTTCGAGAATCTCAAAAAAAGCATCTCCAAATGGCATTGGATATGGGTGAACTAGAAACGGGTAGAGGGTTGAATCAAGAACTTGGTCTTGTTAAAGCCGGTGATACTCGTTGGGGATCTCACTACAAGTCATTTGGAAACTTTATTAGTAGCTTTGACTCTATTGTTGATGTACTTGATACTCTTGTTGAAAATGCAAGTACTTTGGAAGAAAGAGCAAGCGCATCGGGATTTCTCAGAAGTTGTCAAATGTTTGGATATTTTCTTGTTGCATTTGATGACAGATGTTTTAGGAATCACAAATGATCTTAATGTTTCATTACAAAAAAAGGAGCAAGACATTGCAAATGCCATGATTCTTGTAAAGGTAGCAAAGAGAAGGTTGCAAGCTTTAAGAGATAATGAATGGGATCCTCTCTTTAAAAAAAATATTGGATGGGATTCACTTAAAGAAAAGGTAGAAACATTTTGTATCAAGCATGACATTTCATTATCCATATGCTAATTCTGGGAGATCACGACGTAAAGTAGTTATTTGTACTACTTTGCATCATTATCGTGTGAATGTGTTTTATAAAATCATTGATTGGCAACTACAAGAACTTAATGATCGTTTCAATGAGGTGACAAGTGATTTGCTTAATGGAGTATCTTGCTTGAATCCAATTGATTCATTTTCTAGTTTTGACATAAGGAAGATAATGAGAATGGCTGAATTATATCCTGATGATTTTGATGGGTCCAACATGAGAGCTCTTGAGAATCAACTTGTTAATTACATTATTGATGTTCGTGATATTGATGAAAGGTTCTCCAATTTGGGTGGACTTGGAGAACTTTCAAGAAAGTTGGTTGAGACAAAGAAGCATTTAACCTATTCTCTCGTATTTCTTTTAGTGAAGTTTGCTTTGCTTCTACCTGTTGCCACTGCTACAGTTGAAAGAGCTTTTTCGGCAATGAAGATTATCAAGAATGACTTGCGAAATCGAATGGATGATGAATTCTTAGATGGTTGCATAGTACCTTATGTAGAGAAAAAAGTATTTAAAGATGTTTCTAATGAGTGTATTATGAAAACATTTCAAGAGATGAAGTGTCGTCGAGTGCAATTGTAGTTACCACTTTACAATTTACATATTTTGGTGTATATGAAACTATCCGTCAATATATTTGTCCTACTTCATCTTCCTTAGTTTATTCATTGATATTTTGTAAGTTTCTGTTTTAAGAATTTTCATTTTGGATAGTTGGTTAATTTGATATTGAGGTATGACTATTTTGAAGCCAATCTTTATAATTTGACTAGCAAGGTTTATTTTTTTACTTGTCCTAAAGTATGAACACCCTTGGCGAAAATCCTGGCTCCGCCACTGCTCTGTATCGTATGTTATCTATCATGTTTCTTGTTAATGTATGAAATGCAAGGCATAATAATGTGTTATGAATTTAAGTAGTATTATATAATGTGTTAGCTATCACTTTGTGATTTCTGTTGAAAATTCCAAATGACATTATTATTGAAAATTATTTTCATGTACATCTGTTCCTCAAAACACCAAAAGGTTTCCAACTTGACTTGGTAATCTACTATGTTGTAGTTCGTTCGTTTTAAAATGAATGTCTATGTGATAGTATCTCGTGCATTAGCGTATTAGTGTAAAGGTTGTTGCAAATATTTGATAATACGTGATAGTTTTACCTTTCTATGGTATCTTGTGCACTAGTGTATTAGTGTAAATTAAGATTGTTGTAAATATTTGATACAATAGTCGATGTATGTGCAAGTTGAATTGAATGCCACTTTCTTTATAAGAGAAAATGTCAAGACATTCAAAAACTTAAAACAAAAGTAGCTACTAACAAATAATGTGACAAATGTTTCAAATAACTATAAGCAAATGAATACCAAGTCAAATTTTGTTTTTGTTTTTTGATCGTATTATATGAAGAGAATATTCAGTGTTAATTGAAATTGTATAGGGAAGGTTCTGATGAGATTATGATAGGCAAAGACAGATTCAAGATTTAAATTTTATGGATTCATATTTATTTTTTTGTTATAAATTTCATGAGTTTTTACAAATAAATTTATGTTTCACGTTGAAAATATTGACGTTAAATAAACCTATTAGCACTGATACTCTACATTCGCCTCTGATTATATATAGCAATTAATTAAGATGCCATGATCCGGCTTGCCAATTTATTGATCTTCAATTACCTGTCTTTATATTTTGGCTTCACTCTCCAAAATATTAAATCTCTAATCCTTGATTAATACTTATACCTTTATAAACTGCAAAAAATAAACACAAGAAAACAATTCTGGCCCTTCAATTTTTTATTCTTGAATTATTAAGGCTCTCTCCTAACACTATATAAACCTTTGCTTAGGACATTTTAATTAGTACACAAATCATATCATTAGAGCTTATAATTAAGTGGTTAAGTACTCTCTAGGCAAATAATTAACACAACTTTTGCCATGGCAACAAGGATTTCAACTCCTAATTATACAGCAATTGCCTTGCTAATATTGATAATCATTTCTCCAATTTGTTGCAATATTCTTACTAGTACTAAAAGTGCTAGAAATTCACCAGCTTTAGTACCCAATGTGTCAAGTCAAAAAGTTGGTGGAGAAAATGTTTCGTCAAAAGAAAAGATACGGGGAAGAAATTTGTTATTGCTTAATTTTGGGGGTTGCGCCTGCAATTTATGCTTCTTCACATCTCACTAAATAACAATTAGAGTTTGTTAAATATTAGTAAAAAAAATAAAAATACTCCGTTTGGTAAATTTAACCACAACGACAATATACTCGGTGTGAAATTCCATAAGCACGATTCAAAAAGGGTAGAGTATGGACATACCTTATCATTACCTCGTCGAGCTACATAGATTGTTTTCGAAAGACCATCGACTCAATAACATCAAATTCAAGTAAAATTCAAGTAAAAAGAAGAAGAAAATAGTGTTGGAAACATAACAACCAACAAGGAAAACAATGCAAAACCTACGAGAAAGGAACAAGAACAATAAAATAGTGCGATAATTAAAACACAATTAACAACAAACAATGACAGGTTTCAAAAATAAGAACTACTACAATGACAATAACACTCGAAAAACAAGAACAACCATCTATCTACTAACCTTCTACCCTAACACGCAACCTCCATAACTTGTTATCTAAGGTCACATCCTCGATAAGCTGAAGATGTATCATGTCTTAAGCAATCACTCTCCCTATCTCCCGATACTTCTTTGGCCTATTAAAGGATCACTTTTAACTTACTACAAACATAAAGGATCATTTTTTGCATTTTCTCAATTTTACACATAGTATAACTTTTGTAAAATAAGTAAAAGTAAACATCAGGCGACTGACGTTTCGTTTGTCAATGGAGTTCTTAGATGAAGACGCCAAACCCAGATTTCTCTTCCAATCAAAGCCACTACAGCAATCCAATTCCGATCCGGAAACCCAAACCCGGTCTCTATACCGACCCGGAATCATCATCTCCATCTCTCTTTCTGTTCTTTTCTTTGCTCTTTCGATCCTCTATTTCTCTTTTGAACCCTTCGGATCCATCTTCTTATGGATCTCTCTTTCCCTCCTTGTCGGACCTTTTGCTCCTTCTTCCGTCACAGGTGGTGACATCCGGGTCGGACTCGGAGAACCCATTCAAGACCCGCCTAAAGATGATCTTTCTGATACCGAACCCGATACGAAAAAATCAAACAGAAGATCTAACAGACCCACCAAGAAAAACGTTGACTTTGAGCCTGTGTTAGCTACCCATTATGATCTAAAGCCGGAGAAAACTAATGGGTCGGTGGCAAATTCGAAGAATAGTAATGGGTCGGTTGCGAATCTGGAGAAAAAAGTGGGGGATGGTGTGTGGAATGAAGGGGATGAAGAGTTGTTGAGGAAGATGATGGGGAAGCATCCGGTGGGGAAACCGGGGCGGTGGGAGGCGATAGCAGATGGATTTAACGGGAGATACAGAGTGGAAAGTGTGATTAAGAAATCTAAAGAATTGGGTGAGAAGAAAATGAGTGATGGGGATTCCTATCAGAGGTTTTTGAAGGACAGGAAAACAGTTGATAAGAGATCTGAGGGTGGAAATGAAGCTGATTTCGAGAATGTGGAGGCGAAAAATGCGGTAGAGAGTGGATGGAGTAGTGGGGAGGATTTAGCTTTGCTTAATGCATTGAAGACATTTCCAAAGGAGGTGGCAATGAGGTGGGAGAAAATAGCAGCTGCTGTGCCTGGGAAGAATAAAGCAGCTTGTATGAAAAGAATGGCTGAGTTGAAGAAGGATTTTAGAAGCTCTAAGTCTGCTAATGCTGAAGCTTAGGCATAAAGATCAGTTATTGATTCAAATCTCATAGGAAAATTTTCAGCTATGTTGAGGAGGTAACATATTTTACCATATACAATACTTATTTATTTGTTCGAAATCACTACTTCATTAATTGACATTGTGATTTGTTGAGGAAGAAATTGTAAGGTGACCAGTTATTCAGTTAAAAAGTTTTAAAGTTATGTTCTATGAAATCTGTAACCTGACAATGATTTATATGAATAAATGCATTTCCACTTTGTGGAGATTGAGCTCACAGTGCTTATGGCGTATGCTAAGCATGGAATTTGCCTTCCAAATTTTGAGTTGCAGTTCGCTAAAGATAATCCCTTGATGTTTAATGTCAAATCTTTGAACTTGACACTTTGTGATGGTTGGAATCAAAATGCTTTGATGATTCAAATTGTTAAATGTTACAATTTCACTCTTTTAATTTTTTTTTCCTTGCTACTTGCTAGAATTAAGTCCGCTGTGTAATCATTATGCGGTATAGGATAGTAGGCGACTCAGCTTGATGCAGAAAATAAGTGTAATTTTAACTTTCTTGATTAGCTCTAGCAGCAGGATTTTGAGGCAAAACTCAAAAGGAAGATTGGAGCTATTTAGTGGATATATTAACTTGGCTATTGATCTACCGGCCACAAGATTAACTTGATAACAAGAATGCATAGGCTGTCACTCCTTATCAAATGAATACATAGACATTTTATCAAAAGTTGGTAAAAATGATAGTCTGTATGGTAATTTTTTATTTTTTATTTTTGGTAATGGTCTGTATGAAAAACTCAAGCATCCATAGGAGATAAAATTGCTTGTGCTACCTGATTAGGCTAGCTATAGATGATCTTGTTGAACTTTGTAACCAAGGGGCTGACTGAGTAATTGAGGTTTTGTGTGTAACGACCTGAAGACCTTAGGTTTGAGTCATTTGTCTCCCAACTACTACACCCAGTGGAGCCGTCTATGCCACCATAGTTAGGGAGAGTTGACCTGAATATGCTTGTGGGTTGCTTCAGGCTGTCATAGATTAGTTATGGTGTGTTCAAGCTGGCATGGTCTCCGACATTGAAAGAAACCGTCATGTTGAACCTTTGCTCAAAAGTCCTAGCATTCCTCTTATTTTAGATGTAGGCATTGCATCCCTTAATAAAGCACAATTAGTAGTGTTTGCTGGTAAAATCCGTTCTCAATTTCCTTTCTTCCCCTCTGACCCCCGAACCAGGGTCACCCGTCTTCCATTGGCTATATATATGTGCGTTGCACCAACATTCTAGCTTCTGTTTTGATCTGCATTCCTTCTCTAACTCTTTTCTCTGCTCAATAGAATTTAGTACATGTAGAATGAAACAGCTATCCCTCCTTTAAATATAGAGAAGCTTTTAGCAATTCTCTGTTTTAAAGCGATTAATCTCTATTTCCAGTATAAATGTTTTCGCATACATTGACTGAGTAATGATTCAGTTCATGACTCTAAAGGTTTGAAAAGGACTTTAAAAATCTCATGTTTAGAAATACATATCCATAAAGTTGATGAAAAATGATGCTCCATAAAAACACAGTGACAACTGCTGCTTTGACTACCTTTTTATCTGGAGACTGGAGATCATCCTGTTGAACCCTAACATCCTTAGTCATTGCATCCCTTAACTTGATCGTAATTAGCTGCCAATAAGAACCAATGCTATGCTTTCTGTTAGCTGTCTGCAATGAACTGAAAGAGAATCAACAATGGAAGTGAGTGATTTTGAAGAACTCATCAAAAGATAATGAAAATTGATTCTCCATAAAAACTAAGCGACAAGAACTCAGCAGATAAAATTGCTTCGAACTACCTTTTAGGTTAGTTTGAGATCATCCTGCTCCTGTCTACCACGCGTATAACTTTAGATGTATAAGCAAGAGCATGTTTTCCCTTGCCTGTTCTCAATGTCCTTCTTCCCTCTTTTGACCCACTTCTTCCATGGGCTATTGTACTTTGCCTGCAGGCTGCAACCAGCAACCTAGCTCCCTGTTGCATATGCAGTTCCTCCTGGTTACTACAACTACCAGGAATACAATAACATTCCCAACGTAGTCCCATAAGTGGAGTTTAGGGAGGATAAGATGCACGTAGACCTTCCACCTACCTTGTGGGGGTAGAGAGGTTGTTTCCAATAGACTAAAGGCAATGTCGTTTCTATTTTGTAGCTCATAAGTGGAGCATTTGATTAGTTGTTTGGAGAATCTAGTCGTTTGCTGATCTTGAGGAAGGGGAAGGAGAAAATGTGGATATTTATCCTAGTGAAGAAAGAAGGTTTATTTAAAGGGGATGTAGCAGCATCTAAACCTTATGGATAGGAGGTGACAATGGTTTTTAAAAAGTCGATTGGACCGATCGGATCGAATCGTATCGTATCAAATCAATTTTTAGATTTATAAAAATAGAACAACTCAGTATAGCAACAAAAAACATTTTCAATTCATCGATATTAGTTATAGGCTACTAGACTTTGAGGTGAGAATTTTTACAATATTTGCTTTATATATTACTCCTATTTTTGCCAACTATAACATGTCCTTGATTGAATAATGATCTTGCATGCTTAAGTACATAAACTTAATTGTTCGACGAAATCAATCATAGATTTCAATTTAAATCTATTACATATTTTCATATACTCTTCATAATAAGAGTGATGCGTCATGTGATTATGATAAATATAACGAGTAATTGCTATTTTGTGATATTGTAAAGCGAAAATATTTCATTCTATGTAACATAACTTTTGAGTATTCAATACTATCAAATTTTATCAATTGCAATCCGCGTAAGATGATGTTTCAAAAATTGAAAATTATCTCAAGTGTACCAAAATTTTAAAAAGTCAAGACAACTAAGACGATTTCAAGAAGTCTAATTTTAATTAGGAAAAATTACAGAAATCCCACATTTTAGTTTACTTATTACCATTATCCACTATAAGTTTTACAAATCTCCAAAATTCCTCATTTTTCGCGCATCAGATTAATGTATCAGCGCTTATATTATTGTATCTCGCGCATCATATTAATGTATCAACGCTTATATTATTGTATCTCGCGCATCAGATTAATGTATCAGAGCTATATAAGTGCTGATACATGCGTGAGATACAATAATATAAACGCTGATACATTAATCTGATGCGCGAGATACAATAATATAAGCGCTGATACACTAATCTAATGCGCGAAAATGAGGGATTCCTATAATTATGAACTTTTAAGGGATAAATTGTAATTTTATCTTAAAAGTATGTGATTTCTGTAATTTGCCCTTTTAATTATGCATTTTAAGATAATAAAAATTAATACTTTTAAAGTGTAAGTGATCAATCAAATCATTAACTTACCTATCATGTAGTGCGCTTTCGGTAAATCATAAGCTTAAATCTCACACACACACACACACATATAATATATATATTATATGTAGAGTGCTTTCAGCTAATTAATATGGGACATAAGTTTAACTCACATAATATGTACTAGTTCGCTTTTACTACTAAATTAAAGAGTTAAATTTCTCAATCATTAATGAAATAGTAATTATCTAAACAAAAATTATAGCTTGTAGAATTGTGAAATTTTCATTATGGTATCTTAAAGTTGGAAGGTGTAATTTTGTTCACCTCTTTAAAAAACATTACGTCATATTCGATATTAATTTTCATCCGATAATTATATTGTCTCGACTTAATCATTAGATTATCAAGCATTTAATCCGTCGATTCAACAAATGATATCAACCCAACAAACAAATTACTATCCAACTCATAAAAAATTACTGAATAAATTAAATAGATTGAGTTTGATTTTACAAGCCTTAAATTATTGCGTGAAAGCACTAAACATAAAAACTATCGAGGGGTGTCACAATATAAATATCGAAGAAATCCGATTATCCGCACTACAGTGTGTAAGCAGCGAATAGCCATGGGGATTCTGTCATGGTGGAAAGGCGACAAAAATGAAACCCCTAAAACAACCCACAAACCCGACCCGAAAACCCAAATCTCTTCCGACAAGCCGGGGGTTCCCGGCATGAACGGAGCTGTTGAGGTTTCAAGGCCCAACCCGCCGCCGACCGACATAACCGTTTTCGAATTTGGGTCGGTGGCTGCTTCTGTTGATAAGGTCACACTTGCCGGATATTGTCCTGTTTCTGACGAGCTCGAGCCTTGCCGTTGGGAGCTTTTGCCGGCGAGTGGGTCTGATGCTCCCCAATTTCGAGTGGTTTTCTGATTGGGGTAAGGAAAGAGCTTGTATGGAATTCGTGAGGAAGATTTGTGATTCTGAGTTTTTTAGTTGAAAAAAAAGGTTCTGTTTTTGCTGAATTTAGTGTAATTTACTGAACATGGCGTAATGAAAAAACCCTAATTTAGTTGGGTAATTTATTGATTTCATGTTCTTGATTATAGCTTTTGGATGCATTTTTATATTTTCGTTTTTAAGTTTGTGTGGCTGCTATTCTGAGTTTTGTTTCCCTTAAGAGCTTTTCTTTTAGAGCATGATTTATGTAGCCCATCCCAATTAGTTAGGGATTGATGGTTAGTTGATATATGTCGGTTAATCGGAGGCATGGATCATGGTTGAAAGCCGAAAGCCGAGGGTCTATTGGAAACAACCTCTCTACCTTTGAGGTAAGGGTAAGGACTACGTACACTCTACACTCCCTAGACTCCCGACTATATGGGTATGGTGTTGTAATTGAGGCACAGCTTAGGGGAATGTTAGCTATGGTCATATGACTAGGAAGAAGCTGAAGGAGAAGACAAAAGCTAACTAGTTACAATTTTATGGCACTGTATCTTCCAAGAAATTTCAATGGACAGTTTCTGTGAGAACTCTGTGATTGGTTTAATAGGTTTTTCTTTTAGGGTTAATTTTCCTGATTGGATTCATCCCTATAGTAATTGAATGAATTGATTTGTTAACATGAAAGGGTAAGAACTCAACGGGATTCCTTTCTTTGTTAGTTTGATTCGAAGGGGAAGGGTCGGTTGAGTTCTTAAGAATCAATAAACAAGAGAGCTTTCTAATCTGAAAACAGAAGGATATGTATTTCATGTGGTTCTTTTCCTCTTCCTTACTGTTTGTATTGTTTCAACATGTATGGCAAAGTTTCTTCTGATGGTTAGACGAAGAAATGTGGTGCAGTCAAGTGCAAATGTGCTCTATGTTTATGTATTCTTATAAGTTTACAGTTTCTCTTGGCCATTTGAATATTTTCCATGG